GGAAATGCCGAACCGAGAACCTGCCTGGTCCCCTGGGGGAGCTGTGGCACCACAGAAGAGGCTGCTGCAGGACGTGCTGCTTACATTTAATTTGGTCTTCAGCTTTTTATTTGGCCTAGGCTTGGCCAGGGTTATAAATCTGTATCACAGAAAACACAGGTTTGGAAAAAAACAGATGAACTGAAAGATGCCTTACTATTCGGTGTCAGGAAGGTAAGCCACTCTCTGTGGGAACAAGTGCCTTGTTTTCTCCATCTGTTGAGTCAAAATAATTACCTTGCCTATCGAGTTTTATTGGTATTTTTAACTTTGAGGGAGTTCATTTTAGTTTTACTGCCTTAGTGCTGGATAGAGCTGTGTCCATAAAACTAGCAGTTCAGTCTGTTTCCCATCATTCTGGTTTTTTCAACAGACTTTCTCCTGGGACACTGCTGATCAGATTCTTGCTGTCACCTGCACTGCAAGTTATTCTTGGAACTACACAGATTGAGCTAGTCTGAAGTATATGGTTGTTCAGCCTTCCTGTCTCATCAGAGATTTACTATCTTTAAGAGCAGTTAAACTGCCAGGAGACTTGAACATACTTTAAAGATGGCAAAAACTTCAGTCAAAGCCAGTTCCCTTTTGCCTGTATAAGTTCCAGCATTCCAGCATGCCCAGCTTCAGAAATTAGTTGTTGTTCAGAGTTTAGGAACTTAACCTAAAGGAAAATGGCTTTTTCTGAGCTTGGAGCAGTCAGATGAAGATAATTTGTGTTATTCTGGACAGCAAATGCTGGGTTTTGGCACTACTCAACAGCGGTGCATCCTCTGAAAACAGTGTTTTTTCAATTTATTTTTTTTAAAAGGCTGAAGAGTATTTTTATTTTGTTGGAAAGAGAGACCCTTTGCACAGCAACATAACTTCAAATTGGTTTTGCAGTGTTATTTCCTCTTAGGTGCCAATCAGTGTTCTTGAACTGGAAGTAGGACTTGAGTCCTCTCTGCCCTCTGCTTTGCTTTACTCAGACTGAGCTCAGACCAGCATGGCAAAGTCCATCCAGTGACCATCCCAAGAAATAGGTACTTTCTTCTGCTGCTCTCAGTGACATATGACCTGCTACCTTTTAGATGGTCAGTCAGGAGCAGCTACATAGTGCCTAGAAATCTTCCATAGTCTGGATGGGCTCCTCTGGGTGTGGAGTGTGTCAGGAGCATGATGGATACGTTGAGTCTCCCTGGGAGGATGCCTGTCAATCCTTGTTATGCTGCCTCCTGCCGAGTCATCTCAAGATGCTGCCATGAGCTCAGGGGAGAGCCTATTGTTGGGCTTCTGAGCCAGAAATGAGGCATTGTTGTAAGACTAAGCAGTTGGTGGGAGAGAAAGGCAGCTTGCAGACAAGTGGGTGAATGATACTCTAGTAATGATAACACTGAAAGATTAAGGATTCTCTTTGGTTTACTGCTTGGGAGGGTTTTACAGCTGAGGGAGGTGATGCTTCCAAACAAAGTGCATCAGGAGTGCTGGGTGTGCTGACATTTGTGTGACATCCTGTTTTGTCCCCTGAGAGCACCTGGCTGACTTACTCCTGCTTAGCTGTGGTGCTATTCTGAAGTGTGATTATTAAAAGAAAACACTGGTACTGTATATGCAACCTTTTAACCATCATATTTATTTAATTTCAAGGTCTTCTCACCCAGTATCTCTGAGTCAGCCTGGATGGATCTTTTCACTAGAGAGAATTGCTGAAGGCAGTTGGGTGCAGTCTGTCAGCCCCAGAATGCCTGGGCAAGCAATCCCATATGAAGTCACCCGAAATTCCAGGGAATTTTTATGTGCAGGAACCTAATTTGGCTCTAAATACTCTTGGCTTTGGTAAACTACTCTGCAAACCACCCATGCTTCGCTACCATCTATTTATAGTCCAGGCCTAAGCTCTCATTTCCTTGCAAGGAGACAGTCAGCTCTTTGTTAGGTTTCCAGAATCTGCACTGGTTGTCAGGTTAGGAAATTCTGCACTTCCAAAAGCAACATCTTATTGCTATGCTGACTATCTGGTCTTATCTTCTTTAGGTGTTGTAAAGTTTCTCCTTACTGGGTGGCATTCCT